TATTTATAAAAATTATCATTGGTAAAATCAATTATAAAAAAACAAATACAGATAACCATTGTTTAATAGACTACTTAATACAATGCATTTTTGATATGAGTTCATATGAAATCATCTGTTTATCTTATTCCAGTAAGTATTCTTTCAGTTACAACATAGTTTATCAATGTAGATTGTGCATTTCCCCCTATATGGTGAAAGCTTTTCTCTGAAAAATGAAAGATTTTTATTTTTTATGGCAATCGTATAAACCAGAAATTCCTTTTAGCATTTTGTCTGTAAGCTACATGCTGCTTATAATTTTCTTTTTTCAGTTGTGTTCTTGAAAATAGCATTTAAATAATTTTTCCATACTTCTTAGCTAATTAAAGTCATAAGTACATATCAATCCAGAATGATCAAAAATCATATATAAGCCTGTTTTTGTTTTGTAATTCATATAAATTTTGTGTGTTAAATGAAATTTACTGAACTAAATAAAACTGTTTTTTTTTTTTTTTTTTTTTTTAGAGAAAATTTATATCTAAAAAAATTATTCTGGAATGTAAACCCACTTCTTACATGTAAGGTGAGTTTTGGATAATGTGATTTTCATAATCCAACATTTTTGTGGAACCTATCACATTATACAAGGGTTATCTATATTTAGTTTATGCTACAGAATTTTATTGCAGCAAAAATTCAATTTCTTAAATATTTTTAATTCAGAAACTAAAAAATAAAGTAAAAAAATTTTTAATTTTATCTGAATATTTATTTTAAATTCAAAATTCTAAATAAAGAATTTATGCATATTTTCATTCACTTACAAGAGATATGAAAACTATAGCAATTAAGTTTTTTCTTTAAACTTACAGTAGTAAATTTTTCAATTTAATAATAATAACCAATAATATCACAAGTATGCTAAAAAAACATTATGAAGAGTTGGAAAACACACTTATAAGTGCAAAGCACAAGAGTCAATGAGATTCAAATAATAGCTATGCTAAAGAGATTCATTGAGTCTTCTACAGTTTATCCTCTCTACAAATCCACTCCTTGTTCTACTAAAAAATTCATTATAGATTTAGAACAGAAAGAGCAAAGCTTAAGAATATTCAATTACATTAGTTTACCATCATCCATGTAAAACTAATTGAAGAAAATAAAAATCAGCTAATGAGCTTGTTAGACATTACAAAAAATTTTAGTAGAGATATTAAGATGAAATTTGAAATAAACAAGTGCATCATAGTGTCTGACACATGGAAGAATCAATAAAATCAAGAATTTTGAATTAAACAATAATGAATTTATTGAGTGTCTTGAAGACAACCAAGTATATAAATAGTTAAGTATATATCAAAATATAAAGGTCAATCATTCAAAATTAAAAGAATAGTTTAAAAAAGAATATACAGAGTTAAATATATTTTAAAATCAGAACTTTTCGAAAAAGTGAAAATAAGTTTAATAAATATACATGCTTCAACAGTGTTGATATTTCCCTTTGAAATTTTAAAATGATGTGAATCAGACCTAGAAGAAAAATAAGAGCAATAATGTGTAAATTTAGAATGAGGCATACAAAAAGTAGTATTGAAAGAGCAAACAAATGGAAGGCTTGGAAACAACAATGCTGTAGTATAATTAAAATTCTGAGATTATACTTTAGAAATCTTCAGAATCCAATCTACACAAATATATAATTCTTATTAGTTGTAACAGTATAACGGTAAATCTCAACATGAAATAAACAATGTAACAAAATAACATATAACAGAGGTAAAGAGATCTAAGGTTTTCCAGAGTTACCCTTCATCATTTAATAAAGACTTTGCTGATAATGATTTATCAACAGTTTGTCTAATGAAGGGACTTCTCTCTTTATTTTCTTAAACAAAGCAGATAAAGTTTATCTTAAATACAGTAGAGAAAACCTCCAAAAGGAAATCTTGAATAGAGAAAACCTTCCTCTATTCAAGATAAAGTTGTTAATACAAGAAATTATCAAAAATATGTAGAGTAGTGTCCCACTAGTTCAAACTAATTGGGACAGAATCCTGTTTGGATTAGCCGAATAATTGAAATAATGCAGAAGCAGGTCCGGTTTATATAGATCCAACACCATCAATGACTTTTGTTTCTATTTTTGTAAGTACTGTGTAGATCTGCTGTTTTAAATTAATAGACCATGTCAAACACTGATTTATTAATTTTGTACAGTATTAATACAGTACTACAATAAAATACAATTTTTTTTGTTATGGAATTCTAAATCTTTTTGTAATACCAATACCATTTAAATTCAACTGGAAAATACAAAAAAAAAACGTGTATTTTGAGAGCTAAAAAATTTCCTGACAACTGACTGAAACATGTTTGGATTGGCGGGACTCTACTGTATTAAGTAATGATGTATATGGCAAATGTAGGCTCTGTCAGTCTGAGACTGAAACTATTCAGCATATAATCTATGGATGTAAAACTTCACATCATCCAAATAAAAAACCTGTTACTCTGGTAACTAATGTATTTTCTATCAACTGGATAATTAGACAACAAGAAAAACACACCTTTAAAAATCCAGCAAATAAATTTACTGGATTTACAATGAAATAGAATGCAAAATTTACAATGAAATAGAATGTGAAAATAGAACGTAAATTTACATTCTATTTCATCGTAACTGAGGAAGATCAGTTAAACCAATCAAAAACGTTTTTTATTAGTAAATTTATTTGCTGGATTTTTAAAGGTGTTTTTCTTGTTCTGGTAAATAAGCTACTATATCAAAGACTGGCTTAAAAATATAACATTTTTCCCATCACATTATAAATTCTCTCCATTTCTTATTCTAGGAAACAAAAAATTTGTCTTATATTCGGATAGAGATGATTATAAACAAAAGTATGAACTATAATACAGTAGACTCCCCTATAATGCGGGTTCCTATAACGGAGATTCCTATAATGTGGTGAAAAAATTGCGACAGTATTCGTATAAAGACGCTAAAAGGGACTCGTAAAACGTCGTCGCTGACTCGTGTTGCGACAAGATTGGTCAAATCTGGACCAATAGTAGACGAGCAGCTGAACTATTTACACGCTACAGAGAGTTTAGGCGAGTAAGTTGAGTTTACTATCGTCTGTACAGTATTATATATAAATTAGGTACTGTATATATAATTATATATTAACTTAATTTATTTTAACTTTATTATAATTATATATATACTTTCCGCCATCCAGCACCATGCTACAGAGAGTTTAGGCGAGTAAGTTGAGTTTACTATCATCTGTACAGTATGTAAATTAGGTACCGTAAGTCTAATACAACACTGTAATTTTATACATTTCTTGTGAAAGAAACATTTCTTATTCAACGGCCATAAAAATTATTTACATTAATGATGTCTCGAAAGGTCAACGAATTTTTCGCAGAAAAATAATTTATTAGAAAACGCAGCCGCTGTTTGGTGCGCTGCTCCACGACGAAAACAAGCGTAAGCAACGGCGAAGTCGAACAGTGCACACTTGGTAAGTAATCCTACAATTTTTTGTTTATAGCATAGTTTATACGGATTATTCCCAAAAAATTATGTGTGTTTTGGAAATGTTGAGTCAAATTAGTCTAGAATCGATTAATTTTATGGAAGAAAACCTTTCAAACAGCCATAGTCCATAAACTGCAAATGTGCCAGGCTGTGATTGGCTCATGTATTTAAGGATTCCTACAATTTTCCTACAACGTGAAATTCTTATAAAGTGGAACATATCTACCACATTATAGGGGGGTCTACTGTATACCAGATATTGTTTTAATGTTGGAAGACATCAAGGAGGCACATTTCATAGATATAAAGTCCTACTTACTAAAACAATAACGAAAACCAAAAATGAAAAAGATCTCAAAATGCTAAAATTTTAAAATTGAAACAAGATCTAGAAACTAAAATAAGTACAAACTGAGCCAATTATATCTGCAACAGCTGTCTGCCCTAAATCATTAGTGAAAAATCTGAAATTGTTAATATTTTTGATCAAAATATTATAAATATGATCTCTAAATCTGTTTGTCTTCAAACCTGCCACATTGTAAGAAAAATCTTCAACAATTGAGCCTAAATCTGTTGAAAATTTTTTTCCTCCAGATTGGGTAAACAATTCCAGAAAAAGCAGAGAAGTGCACAAACAAATAAAATTATAAATATATTTTAAGAATACTATTGCTGATCATAAGTTAATAATTTAAGTTATAATGCATTCATTACATAGGCAAAAAATAAATTGTAATAAGTATAAAAATATATAAATTATTGTTTATACTAATAATATTTTCTATTAATATAAAATCTCAAAATAAAAATATCAAAAATCTAAAATGTTATTAGTAATTTTTAACATTAATCTTTAAAGTTTTAAATAATACTTTTTATTTGCAATCAGTTAGCTTTTTAACTGTAGACTCTTGAACAAATCTACTCATTGGGTCATTGTATGCTAAAATTAGAATCAGAAGTTTTACTGAAAGCAAGAATGATGCAGATCATATTAGGAAGACCTACATAGTTTCCAAATTATTTATATCTATATTATCTATTTACAGTATTTTAATTATAGTAACATTAAAAGTTAAATATTATTAAATTAAATAAATAAATTAACAAAATTTTTGCTTATTAAATTAAAACCAATTAAAATTAAGATCTATCATCACTATACTGACTATATATATATTATTTATAGGCTACTGTTATATTACTAAAACATATATAAATTCACCAGCCTCGTAAAACTTTAAATAAACATTTGTATCATTTTTTATTATATTTTTCACCTTTAAAATCTTATAATACATATTATTATTATGAATTATAAACACCAACACATGTAACAACATGCATTAATATATATATATCGATATAGGCATCAATATGTTATTTATGCATCATAGATCTTTAATGTTGTATATAAATAATGAATGTAGTTAAATGTGATGAGAAGTTGAATGCTTACCATTGCAATGATTAGTATTTGAATCGACAATCTTGTCGACGGCAGCCATTACTAAAACGGAGACCTCAATTCTTACGATATTTTAATGTTTAATGATAGACATTACTTCTTAAATCATGTTTTATCCGAATTGCAAAACTTATCAATTCTGTCTTATAGAATAAATCTATACAAAACATATATAATTTTTAACTTTCGATCGACGTTTTACAGTAGAAAAACTTACTGTCATACATCATCTCACCCATCACGCCATTGAAACAAATATTTTTTATAGGTTACATCTCATTGGTTAATGGTGCAAATGCCAATAATAAAAACACCAATCATATAATGCAATGCATTGATATCTATGTTTTCGTATATTGTTGTAATTCATATAGTAATTTTAAATTTTGTTGTTATTTTTTTATATAATAAATAATTAAAACAATGATAAATATTAAACATAAAAAATTGTTTTATTGTGTTTTGTAATTTAATTATTATTTAATATCTTTTTATTTTGTGTAATATTACAAAGCCGAAAACAGAATTATATATTAATGAGCTATGGAAGATAATAACATTTAATATTCTATCTCTCAAAATATAGATCTAAAGCACGATATCGACACTTAATGACTTTTTTTCATTTTAATATTAAACAATAACGTAGATTTTAAAATTAATAATTAAATATTTTATGCTGTTGTTAATTAAAGCAGAAGTGGATGAAGAACGTTTCGATTTATTAGGATTACGATATCCATACACTATTCTGAGAAGACGATTCTATTCTGAGTCGTTTCCTTGCGTATTTTCATAAATAATCTAATTTCGACGTGCGAGTCCTGTCCTCACCATTCGCCTACTTCAATGCGAACTGTTAATGGGCATGTTAAAATAAATGCCCTATTAATATTACCTGTGCACGGAATTTCGACGGCCGGATGGCCGAGCGGTTAAGCTGGCAGCCTACTGCTCTGGGGGATCCGGGCTCGAATCCGGATGGATTAAGGAAACCCCAAAAATTTTTCGGGGGGTGGTTTATTCGGTTATGTCGGGCCCCGCTCCCCACCACCCAACTGCCCCACTGTGGGCCTGGCCGAACCCATAATGGGGCCTCTTACAGCGGAAAGAGTATAAAAAAAAACCCTCTGCAGAAATTTGTTTAAAAAACATATTGAAATAAATGCTAATTATTTTTGAATTTTTCCGTTCTGTAGGCACTAAAAAGGTCCTTTTTTCATGCCCATTGTGAGTTCGGCAAATCCACAATAATGGACGGCACTGGTCGGGTGGGCCCCGACATATCGGGACAGACTGCCCATGAAAAATTCCTTTTCGCTCGCCGGATTTAATCTTAGGTCTCCAGAACAATATGTTGACGCCTCGGCCATCTGGAATTTCGAATAGTCTATAATTATTCCAAATTTCAAAACTCTCAGATTTTTGAAAGATATTTTAATTATTATGGGGATTGAATTGATGGAATAAGGAAACGCAACATTTGGGCAATCTACTAAGACAGAGTGACTTCCGGGAACATTCTATAACAAACTGGTTCCAATTTAGGTGTTAGACGCGTGAAGAACACAAAAACTCCAAGCTATTGATGACGCGGGAACACGCGACCAACTATCAGCGTTCAGTGGTTTTATCTACTTGGACACTGGTGAACTATTACTGTATTATGATGAAAAATATTATCCGGAAATATACAGTGTATAAATTAGATCTTTTTTGCAAAAATATCACTCAATAAATATGTCAGGATTAAGTGATGTTTGACTTTGAAATAATGTTTTTGATTTTCAATAATGCACAAGTTGCTAAGTTGGCGTAGTGCAGCGTGAGCGTCGGGCGATCACCGAAGTTTCGAGCTTTTGAATTTTTGCGATTTTTTCTTTTGGCAAATTCTCGACTGAACTTCACAATTTTGGTATCATCAAAATCCCTTTGTTGAGAGGATTGTTTGGTGTGCCATAGTTGGGGGTGCACCTTTTTCTGTGAAGTTGTGACGTTTTTGAAACTTATGTGTTTTTTGTAGCATCCACTATCTAACCGTTATAACCGCCGTTAATTAACGACTTTAACGATCTTTTGAAAGTCAAGCAGCGTCGTTTGCTTTTTTTTATATACAAAAGTTTTCTAGTTGTTTTAGGGAAGTACAGATTTATCACGTGAATACGGCTCTTCTTTACAACACAAACATTAAAAAATATAGCAACAAGTTGCATAACTTTTCCGGCTTTCATGAGATTTTATTTTAAAAATAACATATTTATTTTGATTAATAGCGCCACATACAATTTAGCGTTGTATTATCTGTTATGAGATTTTGTAATAAACTATATATTTTTAATTATTACAAATGGCACAAGCAATTTTGAGGGCAGAGATGAGTTTTATAAAATATTGTGAATGCTAACCACAAGTAAAATCTTCATTAAGTCTAACCCCTCGCCAGATATGACACGTGACCACCCTCTCTCCATCTCCTTGACCTTTCACAATCGAAATTTAATAGCATCAACCCCCTAATACGAACCTTCCTCCATTTTCATCAATTTTTGACAAAAAGCACAGGAGTTAGCTTTAAAGAGAGTGAACAAAATTGTGTCCCCCCACTAATACACAAAAAAATTCCGAATTTTTTGCATTTCTAGACGTTTTAAGGTCTCCCAGTCCAAAAACGTTAAAATCATGGGGTCATTTTTTAACTGCTATACTTTTCCTCTGTTATATACAATAGCTGGGAAAGTAAAAATGAAAAATTATAATTTTTAATACAAACGGCCGGACGACTGAAACATGTAATAATCTTGTATAACAACAAGCGGATGGCCGAATGATTAAGGTGTCGGCGAACTGCATTTGTGACCCGGAAACAAATCCTAATGGGTCGAAAAACCCCAATAATTTTTCGGGGTGGTCCTTGCAGGATATATCGGACCCACTCCCTCAGCATCCGGCTATCCCATTACGGGCCTGCTGAACCAACGATGGATTTGATTATAAGATCTTAGTGCCTTTAGGGCAGAAAGAGTTTTAAAAACAACCCGTTGGTCACATAATTTTTATGAGGGTTGAATTTGAGAATTACTTCTCCATTATCTTTAATCATATACATGTATATTCATGAGTTCAGCTAGCCCTACAAATGAGGCAGTCGGATGGTAAGGAACGAGACCCTACATATCTGATACTGACCGCCCACTCAGGCGCGCGGGGAACAAGTGTTTTTAAACTCCTATATTTTTGAATCCATTAATTTAAATGCTGAAAAATGATGTCCTCAGTACTTTCCTTCAAAGTGCTGATGATCGCACTGAAAAAGTTTCAAATTTGTACAAAAAAAATTTTTTACACAAAGCCACACCGAAGTTTTGTACCCCGTGCGCCTAACGGAGGATGTTTTATTTGCGCGATTAACCTAGGGGGTAGAACCGAGTTACGGTTCTGAAAAATCGCTCATTGCTTGATATCGGGCCCGTCATGATAGAAATAACCAATTGGAGCATAGAAGGCGTAAAAACAGGATTTTCAGAGGATTAGGAACTGGATTGACAAGCTTGGCGCTTGGAAGTGGTACTCACAAGATTTTTTTACCTGTATTATTGTTTTGTACATTTCACCTTCAAGCGCGAAGTTTATCCTTACCAAAGAAAAACTGCTAAGAAAAATTTTGACCGTTGTCTAAATTGTCATAGAATTTTACTTGGCGTAATTTTTTTTATCTCAGATGTTTTTGTTCGGATATCTTCTTATTAAATCTTTGGATATCTTCTTACTAAAGTCGACGATTAACTTAGATGACTGAGGCGGCAAAGACGTCCTGTCGCTCTGGAAACTGGAGTTCGAGTCATAATCAGAATCTCAGAAAAACTTTATGGGTGATTTATTCGGATATGTCGGGTCTCGTGACTAGTGTTACAACCCGACCCGTCCACCCGAACTGTCCGGGAATCGACTCACTGTCCAGGTAAACTATTAATTTTGTCCGGGAATATCGTGCGTAACCTTTCGACCTTTTTTTTCTTTTGCTCGTACGATTCGTATTTGTACACGTCTCCAATATCCAAATTTCTAATAGAGCTAAGTAATTCGTAGTTGTTCTTTCTTAATTTCGGTTACTTACGTTACTCCTACCCAAATCTCCCTAGTCCCTAACTGTAACTGATTTAGAACCGGCATGCACTGCACGTTATTCTTCGCATTGAAAAATGACATTGTACGTGCGTCAGGAACTTTTGTTCGAACAAACCTCACCTGCCGTCCGGGTCAGCGATTTTGAACAGGTGGAAACAGTACTCGTGACTCTCATTTCACATCATTTGATGCAAGTGTTTATACATAGTGAAGTAGTTCCATTCAGAAACGTACCAATTCAGACAAGGTGCTTCTGACATTCTTCGCTGGAATGCTTTGTTTGAAACGATACGTATCCAAAGTTCTGAAACTGTTGAAACAAGCATAAACTGAAGATGGACGGATAGTAGCTTACGAATTATATTCAGACAACTTTTGGCTTGCTGTGTACAATCTCGCATAAAGCTCAATGGTGTTATAGTAAAATAAGTAACAAATTCCGAAAGATCGTGTCCCTTCTTTGAGACAATTTTCTACTTTTTCCCAATAGAATATTGAAATGCTACTGAAGCATTCTAAAATATTGGAAAAACTTCACTTCATTGTCCAACAGTTTTTTGAAGAGAGTCCCATACTCTATGTGAATTTTTGTTTACTTTAACTTAATATTTATGAACACCTAACTGACGATGTTTTAATTTATCGTTTATGGGTAGGTTTATAGCATTACTGGGTAGACCTACCCATATATTTTGAAAGATAAATGGTCATTGAAAAATAATAAATACATTTTCTGTACAGAAAGTGCCCATCTTTGAATGGATAGTGTGAATATATGCACGTCAGACGATGTCTTCGGAACTCTACTGTTTCATATCTGAACAGAAAGTGTGAAATATAAATAAATATTAAGGCGTCAGCCTACCGCTCTAGGGAACCCGGGTGATCAGTCTCATATGTAGAGTCTCGTTCCTTACCATCCGACTGCCTCATTTGTAGGGCTAGTTGAACTCCTGAATATACATGTATTCGCTTGTGCCAACGATCGATCTGGCATCTATCGGTATTAGCGCGAACTACATAATGGCGACTACTATGGGTATAATGCAAGTCTGTGGTCAGTAAGAATTATAAAGTGTTTAACCTACAATGGTAAATAAAAAAGCAAAATCAGTTAAGCAAGCA